AACGACGCACGGACACGTGTCAGAAACCAGAGACACCTTGCTACAACTATGTCCTCACCCTCGTCATCGATGGAACGGTAGACCTAAGTAACGTCCAAGGAACGCGCAGTGATATTCTGGCTCATCAGCAAAAGGCTGGCCGCTCTGAGACGGACGCCATTGCTGAGGGGAAGAGAGCTACCGCGTGGTTAAAGGTGAGACTACGTAAGATCTCTCTCTCTCTCTCTCACTCTCTCTCTCTCAATTGAAAAGGGAATACACATTTGCATTGCTATTGTCGTGAAAATATAATTCCGGTTTAGTTACCAATAAGCATTTTAGCTCATCTTTGATTTACATACACACTATCTATCCAATTTAGACACTTTTCAATTTTACAACATTAATTTCCACACACAATTCTATCTCTTAAGAACAAATACGGCATTGATTTCACCGGGATACCGGACGAAGCGTACATAGATGGCACCAAGGCAGTGACTAGTGAAGACGGGGCCTTTACATTCAGTACCTTCATCTTGGACCCCGCCGCCAGGTACAGGCTTGTGTCAGCCAGTAAAGGAGATAAAGTGCAGTTTTTCAATACCCCAGTGTCTGAGTCGGGTAAGAGTGAATCTTTTACTTCTGTGCACAAACCTTATGTCACAGGAATGGAAGTCCAAGATACCATATGGTTAATATAGGTTAAGGCTAGTTGGTGTATTGGGATTAGTATATGGGACGAATGTCACCCGTGCAGAGTGATGGGAAGCCGGTGTAACAGTAATCCAAGTCCTCCCGGAACCGAGGCCCGTAGTCATTTAATTGGTTTATGGTAATGGTTGTCCGTAGGATGAAAATAAAGAACAAATTAATAAGGTTCTGATAATTAAGTTAACACTTTTAGAGGAAATTTAAGCTATGTGCCTCTATAAAATGGAATCTTCACATTTGTATTTTTATTTCTTTATTATTTTCTCTTTCTTTTGCATTCGAAATGTTATTTTAAAAAATATATATGATGTACATAGTACGCTACATTTGTTAAAACACTCAACAGTCAACTGTGTTTAATTTTAGAATATATGCATAGTACATGTAGATATGCAGACTTGAAATAAATATTGAAAAAATTTTCCGGATCATTTTTCATCAGTTTTGTTTTTTCCCCTATTTTGCTGACTGAAGCATGAAAATAAGAATTAAAATAGAGTTTGAATTATTTAATCTTTTTGATGTTATTGTGACATCAGTTCATTAATTGAATTCGCCAGTGAAGCAAACAAAAAATACATTTTCTATAATTAAGTCATACGACAGCTATTGAAACAGAACATGGTAGTCATGTAATAGGTAGCGACACACCCGATTATATACTTCTCCATTCACATATCTTGTGTGAGGTTTTAGAAAAAAACGCATTTTTACTTAGGCATTACCCACTCCCCGTACCTTTGAAACTAAAGTGTTCCATATCAATTGTCAAATCTGTAATGTTACACTGTAAAAACAGTGTTTAGCTCTGAGACACATTTCTAAGCGCCTGTTTTGTCTCATTTTTTCCACGCGTTTAGCCCCTAAGCACGTTTAGCCTGTTAACATGTTACACGCTTTGACGTGCTTCACGCCTAATAAATGTAGGGTGCATTTGTTTAACTTTAAGGTTGTAACGTTTTCAACTGTTTCAGTCAATCTCTCACACACACACGCGCGCGCGCGAAGTCACGGTCACCTTTAACTGCTATAGCTATCTCTATCTATAACAGGGTACCGTGAACTGTCAACATAGTTGATTCACACCATCATCTTTACAGCGGGACTTATTCATCCTTGTGTTAGCTGACCTTGCGAGGAAGTTATTTGGAATATATTTCTGAAAAACAAGTTAGGAAAATTCAGTAGTTGACTAAAGACACGAAACAACTATCACTTTTACTTTAAAACATTGTTTTTCATATTTTGATAAAATGCGTTAAGGTATTGATGTTCATTTATTTTTTTTCCGGAAGTAATGAACAATAGAACATCAGGATGATGGTGGGGTATTCTTTATAATGGTTTATTTAAGCTTTCATCACATGCTGGTTATTTTGGTAACCATATTTTTCAAATCGCACCGCTCTAGTCGCCGACTAACCCAAGCCCATTTTGGAATTAACCGCTAACTGTAGTTCATACAGCATAAGACGTGTTTTGGTGATTAATAAAAAAAGTTTTCAAAACATTAAATAATGTTTTTCCAGAATGTTATAAAACGCTTATAAAACTGCAAGGGCATCATTTTGCATGGAGTTAAAAACGTACAGGCATCATTACTGTAGCTTAATCTCACATTCCTCTTCTTCAGGTTGGATAGTGACGGTTCATAAAGAATTCCAGACAACCGGTACATTCGATGCACTCCTCCCTGAAGGTGCAAAGATCTTATACGGCGATTACGTCACTTGCTTCGCATGTAGCAACATATTCCAAAAGTCAAAACTTGTCATCCATTTCGAAAGCCGGACCTTTTTGACTTACGGTTCCCTCACCATAATCGACGGTATTCTGGAAGAGAGTACTTGGGGGGCTGGTTTGGGACGAGGGGTGATGTTTTCAGGACCGGGAAATAAGCAGAGTGCTCGGAACGTGATGACATTTCCCGCCACTTTGCCATAATTTCGGTATTTACAGAACTTTTGGCAGCTGATTGGTGGTGCATTCCATAGGTATTAAAAAAGACATTTGGCTTGTTGAATTAAAATCGGATTAAATGTATTCTGACGATTCATCAGACAAATTGGCAAACACAAGTTTTGTATTCCCATATGTTTAATATGCATACCATGCCTGGTGGCGATTAATTCTATTATCTGGATATATATTAATGAAATTTTAGTATTTTGGGTACCATTATCTGTAATTTTATTTTATCTTCTATATTTAAATCAAGCAACAAAAGGAAATATGTCACAGCATGTACTGCATAAAATACGGCATGTATTGAATAAAGTACCCTCTTAACTGTCGAATATCGACATAGTTTTATTTCCAATTAACGTGCGGTACGACAGCAAACACAGTGATATGTTGTGTGAAGCTATAATGCTGACCACTGTAGTCAGTAGCAGACTTGAGGGAAACTTTAGAGGTACTGAAGATCCAGAGGACCAGCACATCTAGAAATCTGCAGGTCCTTCTTATTCTGTGCAGGCCATAGGTCATAGCTGACACTTGTATTGATACAGATACTAAGCTATAGCCTTGCCATCTACACAGTGCCATGCGATGCATGTGTGAAAAGGGCATGTCTAAGGATGGTTACTCTTTGAAACAAAACAGCGACGTAGGATTACGAAAAAAAAAAAAAATATATATATATATATAATAAAAAGAAATAAAGAGCAGCAGTTATTTTGCCCCGACTGGTTTCATTGCATCTTCAGAGGGTTCGAAACTTTCTAGAATAAATAAAGGTGTTTTTACCGTACTTTACGCAAATAAATGCGTATTTTATTAGATGGCGCTGTGCGGGAGTAAATTAGCGCCGATTTTGACAACTAGCCAGATTTTCCGTCGAGACTAACAAACCAAAGAGTTTGCGGTCTTTTCCTTTAAAAATTGAAAGCCTCCATATATTGGCAATCATTTTTCTCAATTTAAGCGAATTTTATATGTATTAACAAATTTCTCGCATTATAGCCCCTCCCTAGGCATACATGTATGCGTGTTTGGTTTTGTAAAATTCCGTCCTCTGTATTCAGGACACGGTGGAAAGAATTATTTACGGTTTGTTGGTAAAATTATGCTATTTTTCGACAGAATAACAAATGCTTATTCACTTTACAAAATATAAAATTTCAAGCCAGTGTAGATTTTTTGCAATATAGATTTACATGTAACGTCCTCATTTTCAAGCAATCGCCATTCTCTGGCTATTTTGTTACGCAGACGTAGCGAATGGACAATCATGACGGGCGAAGTACACCACTTTTCGACAGTATGTGTCCTACTGATGTGAGAAAGCGTGGACCCTCCTCGGGTTTTCTCTAACTGGTGACTATACGTCGTTGTCCCCTCAAGACTGCACTGAGCGATTTCACAGTCGACATTAAAATGATGAAGATTACTGAAAACAAAAATCGTTCTGCTTGCGTCTGATTTTCTTTGTCTCAACCTCAGTACTTGGCAAAAGAATGAAATTAAAAAACATTTAACATAACGAAGCCTCATTTAGTTTAATTTCTAACACATTAAATTGTTATTAAGAGTAGTGCCAATAACCAGCAGAGTCATATCTTTATAATTCTTGTTATATGCCATATCGATCATATGCATGTAAAATTATTCACATGAAAATAAAAATTAAATAATATATCAAATAGTTTCATTAACAAACATGAAACAAGTCAACAATTAACTTATATTAAGTAAAAAAAAACTGTGACTGCGATAAAATAACATGATGACAGTGCATATAAAGTGATAAAATTAATTAACTCATACGTCTCTATGCAGATATTTATGTAATTCAACTCCAATTTCTGCACACTTTCAGTATGTACACACACTGGACAATAGAAGTGTCACCCTACTGAACCAATAAATGAGATAAATGGCTGTGGAATGATATCCTCCTGGTATCAATTTATTAACATCAAATTTCACAAAAAGACCAACAATACAACTCATTAGTCACATTATAAATATCAGGTATTTTAACTTTGATTACTCCGATTCAGGGGGGGGGACTTCTATTGTCCAGTGTGTGTATATTAAACGAACATAGTGATATATGGTTCTAAAGTACGTTATACGTGTGTTCATTACCTTTTTCTCTTTAACAGTAATCACAATTTAAACATCATCACATTCTCAAATCATAAAATCATTGCTAAGCGATATACTTATACGTGGATATTTTTCCTCTGACGGATCCAACAACAAGCCCCCCGTTACTGTCGATAGAGACGGACAAAGGAAGCTCAATGTTGTCGCTGCTTGATAAAATGCTGCGTAAAAATGTTCCGTCTAGACCAAGGACAACCACCCTGTCATTATCACGGTCAGCTATGAATATATGTCCAAAGTTATCTACACACACTCCTCGTGGATCATACAGTTGTCCGCCTCCACTTCCACTCTGACCTCGTGCTCCGTACTGGAACATGACGTCTCCCTGGGGTGTCACTGCATACACAGAGTCGGCCTTGCAGTCGCTGACTATAATTGCATTGATTCCGTGATGGTATGCACAGCGCAGTGAACCTTTACTGCACATTGGAATAGGAATTCTGTTAACAAGTTGAAAAGATATCATGTTGTACACGCAGATACACTGTGCACCACTATCACACACATACACCTTACCCTTTGTACGGTCCACAGTGACACCCCAGGGATCAGACATATCACCCTGACCAAAACATCGGATACCCTGACCTGATGTTGAATACAGTCTACAGCATTTATCTCTGCATGTGACCACGAATCTATTGTTACTGACTGTAGTGATATACCTCGCCCCTCCCTCTATACAGATCTTACGATTACATTGACCTGTGCTGGAGAATACGGACACTGTATCACTAGACCCTACAACTAAAACACACCAGTCATCTATGCACTGGATATCACGCAGCCAATCCTTTACGTTCAAACAAGTATTCCGCTCCGGCTTATCAAGCCATGCAACTTTCTGAAAAACCATCGCTCTCTCGTGTTTTAAACTTCCAAAATGCGCATCCAAGGGACCCCGGTATGTTTTGGCCGTAAGGGACCCTGTTTTGATGCACAGCGGCCGAGCTTCAGGAATTTTAGGGAACTGTAGAACAAGGTCCATTTCTGCTTGCCCTGGTGTAAATATTATGTCGGTTATCTTTGTATCAAAGACAGGTTCTAATTTCTGTAACGCCTGAATGCTTACTTGGATTTTTTTGGAGTGGGTCACGACCTCGACGTCAGAACCGGTGTCTGTGAGCTGCTGAGCGAAATCAAGAGTGCTCTGAATGGAAGTCTTGTTCATTTCTTGCTTGTCCTTTTCAGCTTCTAAAGTCTTCATCTGCGTGGACGTATGTGCCTTAACTTCTACATACAGTGTGTTGCTTTTATCATTAAGAGATCTTTTCATTTTGGTGTAATCAGACTGTACTTTCGTTCGATACGTTTCCAAATGTTGTTTGACATCGTCCAGATACGCGTCCGCCTGTTTATGTAGATCTTTCTCTACTTGCTGGTAATAATCGCTGAGTTCTCTTTTAATAGTTTTACTGTTTTCATTTATCTCCTTTGTCATAAATAATCTTTGAAAAGCCACCAAACGAAGAGTCTTTGTCTGATTCTCTGTCAGCCTCTTTACCGTTCTTACAATGGCTTTCTCCAACTTTTCAAAACGAGACAGTTTCGCATTCGGAATACATCTCAGTTTTTCTTGTATCAACTCCCGTTGAACCTTCACAACATCTCCAATTTTTTTAAAGTCATGTTTACTGTGAGTTTCCAAAATACAATCCCTACATGCCACGGTGTCATCCTCTTCACAATAGAATGTCACCAACTCGCTGTCGTGTTTGTCGCAGTATTGAGCTTCATCTATTAAGTGGCGTACCTGATGTCGTATGTTATATGGGTTAACTGAAAAGTCGACTTGTGACATAGGTACAAAGTGATGTCCTTTTAGTGCAGGGATGCTGTCATGCAATTCACGGCATGTAACGCACAGTTGGTTGGTTTTGGGACAACCTTTACAATGCAAAGTGGCCTCTTTATGCTTACAATACTCACAAAGTCTCCCCTCTGGCGCTTTCTGATCTTTCACGCAGTCTGTTACTTTTCTTAAGAAGAAGTTTTTCAAGAGATTTTCTAATCCACCTGGTGGTACGGGGGCCTCTTGGCGGCACACGGGACAGGACAACTTATTCTGGACACCATTCTTGGCTGCATGGTCTGCAATGCATTCCAGACAGAACATGTGGTAACAGGGGAGCACTCTCGGGTCTTTATATTCTCCCAGACATATATGGCATGTTAGAAAGTTCTCACTGACGCTGCACATCTCTTTCGAAGCCATTACCATGGTATATTAACGCCCAGAGTGGGCACAGCGCCCCGCCCACTAGTGCTGCCAGATCGTTGCACAGCTTAATATATCGTATCATATCTATACTGCTTCAAATTTGCCAACAATCAGGTGATGTTGTCAATATAGAGAACGGTGCAAAGTCTACATAGTCAGAACGCCCCAGCCAAGGCCATGGCGCATGTTAATAACTCTGATGTATTGTTTGATAAAGTTATCTGTTCACATCACAGTCAGGGTGAAAATGCTCCTCTGTCACCCGTACATAGTGATAGGAAGCCGGCTACTGTCACCAATACAGCGTGATTTATCAGTAATATGCTGCTAGCAGAGATGAACTGGGTGTTCCTGCGTGTGTGTGTGTGTGTGTGTGTGTGTGTGTGTGTGTTTTGGGAGGGAGGGGGTTGTGATATTTTTATAGTCCCGATATGAATCTGTATTTGGCCTGTCATCACGTCAAAAATGATTTGATACCTGGTGGCTTGACCAACCATTATTGCACAAAGAAAGGAATTAAGGTTACTATGTTTATTAATGAATCACTTAATGACTTATGTTTTACCAGCATCATTTAAAGTGACAACTATGACTTAGGGTCTGCAATGGTGGGAAAACACAGAAAATAATTTCATCTAACCAAGAAAATTCTGTGGAGTATCGTTGAAGAATTCCATTTTAAATGTAACACAGGTGAAGCTTCCCAAGGGCACCAGCGCAGTGCAGCAGAAGCATAATGCTTTTTTTCTCAACGTTACCATTGTAGATTTGGAACATCTTTATTTGAAACATGCTTCTACCATGCTGCTAATCTACCGCCTTAATGCTCTTCTCTGTACAACCATATGTACTTTTTTGGTGTAGGAGTGCAGTTAGTATGATAATTGGTGTTATATATTATCAAAATTGCTCAGAATGTGGAAACAGCACCAAACTTGGTACTGATGTTCTTTGGACTATTCTGATCATTTTCAAGGGTAGTGCCAAAAGTTCCAAAACAGTTTTGTGAAATATACACATATCTTATAATAAAAAAAATTAACATTGCCTCTGATACTTGAAGGCAGCATGTTCAAAGTAAGTAACCAGTCATTTCCACGTTTTTTGTCCTTACAACTCTTTATGAAACTTTGCTATAATTAAGGCGTTATAATCTCCCCTGGATGCCTAAGAGACAGTGCATTTTAAGTACACTTACACATAAACAGTCTCTACATCTGCCCCTAAATGCACACTTTAAGAACTCTGGACAGGAGACTAGCTTCAGAAAAAATGTATCCACAAGGGTCCACTGTTCTGGAAAAGTCCAGCATGACGGTATCTGAAGACATAGCACCTAGTGCTAGTTCAGGTATGCTCATCTTGCAAGACTGCTATTTTGTTATGTTGCTGTAGACCAGCCTTGGTGGAAGGAAAACATGGCATCTAACAGACTTCGTGTTTGGATAGAAATGTTGAACTTCATTTATAGAGAAAAGGAAATAAAATGGAACCATGCAGGTGTATTTAAATTTTTTGAAATAAAAAAAATTGAAAAAATCTGTGCGAAAAAAATTTTTAAGGAAATATTGAAAAAAATGAGAATTTTCTTGGAAGTCTGGTCCCTGAAAAATGTTCAATGACAGGATACAACTGTTATTTTAATGTTATTCTAATGTGAGAGATTTAATTTTATCTAAATTATATTTGATATATCCACTTTATAAAGAACTAAAAAGTTTGCTTTATGAGGGCTTACATATATATTTATACGTGTCTTTTATTATTACCTAAGGGACTGATACCATACCAAAGAAAAGACATTCAACTAATATATCATTATACACTGACTGGACAATTGGAACTGGTCTAGAGAGAGCAGATTTTACTTTGTGAAAGGCAGGGTTATAATTAATAACTGCTAATTTTGTGATATTGTTAAAGGCAGATGTATACATTAAATGAATTGTTTATCTTTATTTTTTCTGGACAAGAAAGATGTAATTAGGTTGTTTCTATGTTCCTGCTTTTTCCACCTTCTGAGCAAATTTTACACCAATCACGTGCACTAAGTAGGGTATACTGTTACTCTACTACAAACAAGCTCCACACTAATGCTGCATTAATGCTACTATGCTACCTCGACACTACAGCATTTTTGTGCTGGTATAATGTAACCTTAGAGTCCATGCATTATTGAAAATTTCCACGTCTGCATATTTTTTTACCGTCTGCGACTAGAGCTCTATATTATATAAAGAGTTGTGCTTAAACAACTTTCAGTATAACTTTGTATCATGTTAATGTTAATCAGGTGAGTGCTTGCAGCCGTTCTACTTATTCGTTATTCTCTCTCTCTCTCTCTCTCTGTGTGTGTGTGTGTGTGTGTGTGTGTGTGTGTTGGCTGTGTGTGTGCATATAAATGTCTATGTTTGTGTGTGCCTATTAACATAACATAACCTAATTGCCTACACCATTCTTCCCTGTAGGAAACTTCTCTCTGCCTTGGCCTTCATCTTGGTGGCTTCAATCGTCAGCCCCGGGGTGAACAGCACTGGTCAAAATCACCCCAGACCAAATATGCATTTCTACAAGAATGTCACCTGGCAACAACGCCCGGACACGTGTCAGAAACCGGAGACGCCCTGCTACAACTATGTCCTCACTCTCGTCATCGATGGATCTGTTGACCTAAGTAACGTCCAAGGAACGCGCAGTGATATTCTGGCTCATCAGAAGTTGGCTGGCCGCTCTGAGACGGACGCCATTGTTGAGGGAAAGAGGGCTACTTCATGGTTAAAGGTGAGATGCCTATGTCAAATGTCTCTCTCTCTCTCTCTCTCTCTCTCTCTCTCTCTCTCTCTCAATTGAAAAGTACAACAAACATTGACATTGTAATTGTCATGAAAACAAGACAAGTCCAGATTATTTATAATATGCATTTTTGCTCATCTTTGGTTTATATACACACTATCTATCTAATTTAGAGAAAATGTCAGTTTTACGACATTAATTTTCACACATAATTTTATCTCTTAAGAACAAATACGGCATTGATTTCACCGGGATACCGGACGAAGCGTACATAGATGGCACCAAGGCAGTCACTAGTGAAGACAGGGCCTTTACCTTCAGTACCTTCATCTTGGACCCCGCCGCCAGGTACAGGCTTGTGTCAGCCAGTAGAAGAGATAAAGTACAGTTCTTCAATACTCCAGTGTCTGAGTCAGGTAGGAGTGAATTTTTTACGTCTTTATTCGAACCCTGTGTCACAGGAATGGAAGTTCTGGCTACCATATGATTAATACAGGCTTCGGCTAGTTGTTGTATTGGGGTTAATATATGAGACAAATGTCACCCATACAGAGTGATGGGAAGCCGGCTAATTACATTTATTCAGATGTATCGAATTAATTCGATATTTGTACCCCTCTCAAAAAGAAAAGATGGAAAGAAAAAATTAATTATCTAAGGTTCTGATAAGTTCACACTATTAGATAAATTCTGTTTAAACTATCTGCCTCTATATAATGAGACCTTCACATTTGAATACTTTTTTATTTTCTCTTTCTTTTGCACTCGAAAATGTTACTTTAAAAACTGTACGATGTGCATAGTACGTTACTTTTGTTTACACGCTGAACTGTGTTTAATTTTAGAATATATATATAGCGGATACCAGTATGATTTATTGTTTAGAGATAAGTACTACAGACTTCACACAAATATGGACTGTTTTTCCAAATCATTTTTCATCAGTTCTTTTCTATTTTGCTGTCTGCAAAATGAAAATAAGGATAAAAATAGTGTTTAGATTACTTTTTTAATCTCTTTGATAATATTGTGACATCACTTTATTAATTGGATTCGCTAGTGACGCAAACAAAAAAGCATTTCCTATTTTTATTCATACTACAACCCAAACAAGCAATACAGCAACGATCTCTGTCACGCCTTAACAAGCTGGAAGGCATTCCTTGGGATACTGTTTTTAGAGTTTAATCTGGAATAACATTTCAGGCAATGATCAAAACTTTGTTTCATTTTGATTGTGGGATATGTCGGCCATTGATTAAGAAAGTAATGACTTACCCAAATATGTGGCTCAAATATGGCAATTTTGATGACCAAGGTAGCTGTTTATTCCCTCGGTACCGTAAGTTATATGCTATTTTAAGTGCTCTGTGTGAACTGGCAATTTCATCTTTCCACCTAAAATTATTAGTATGGTGCCCCAATCAAATGATAGTCAATTGGTTTCCATATTTTTCCTTTTTTGATCTGGTTCAGGTTTTCATCGATGGCTACCATTGGTGTTTTGGCACCATCCACTCAAGATAATGACGCACCAATGACCCTAGCTAGTCACTTAAGATGCACACGCTGCGTTGTAGGCCTCTTCAAGATGTTATTAACTCTGTGATTACAGGTTAAATCTGGCCTCAATAAAGAAAGCCACACGGTTTCAGTGTTCTTCCCAGAAACGGGCATGGTCCCCAATTCATTAAAGAAACAGACGACTATGTGTTGCTGTTTACAGTGGCTTCCCCAGAGCTCTGGTATTCCTACCTGCTAAAACCAGCCTGGTGTTCGAAAAGGACCCTGAAAAACACTATACCTCGTCCATACCATACCAGATACAATCCAACTTGTCCACCCAGATACAATCAAACTTCTCGATGGTGTGTGCTACCTTACAGTCAACACCCGTGCGCTTCACAATTTTTGCGGCTTCTCCTCTCAATGAATTTTTTCACTGCAGTAGTTATTACATGCATGGGATAGGTCTTTTCTTTAAGAAGGGTGCGAACTTTTTAGTTCCATGCATCATATGGAACGTACTTTTGCGATTTACAAGGAACAGTCGCGAAGACTCCGAAGAATCTGCCTAACCAGTGCGACAGACTCTGAGCAGGTTGGAAGGGAAGTCAAAAACGCTGTTGGCAAGGCTAGTGAATGCCTCGTTTCCATTTGGACATTTCTGTTTTTTTTTTTTTTTTTTTTTTTTTCGACTTTGTTAG